AATAATACATAATAATATATACATATATAATAATACATAAACATAATATCCTTTTTCCACCTTACCCTGCAAAATCAATATCACTATTCATTCCAGTGTAAAAACTATCTCCTTCAAAGGAATCTGTCAAAACAAATATTTTCAAGTGTAAGCAATTATGTGCTTTTCATACATTTCAACGATACGTTAACTCATTAATTCTTCAAACAATTTAGCTTATGCTGACAAATGCTTTTGTGTTAAAGCAGAATTCTGCTTGTTTTGTTTTTAGCTCTGTCAACTTAGCCGATAAAAACTTGCTAATTTAAGCAAGCAAATGCTTGGCACATTTTTTAAGCTTTTTAATTTTTGGATGGAGTGCAGAAGAGTCAGAACTTCCACTATGTTTGACCTTTTTGTCAAATGATACAAGTCTGTCTTAACACTAGTGATGGGCCGGACAGGCCCGAGTCCGATTCGAATTTCAGAACATCCAAAATGTTCAAATTCGAACTCAATGCAAGTCTATGGGGCTAGAACTTTCAAAATCAATTGTGCCCTTTTTTGAAGGCTTATGTGCAAGTTAATGGCCATAAAAAGGGTATGGGGATTTTGGTAATGCCATGGGGGACATAGTTACATAGTATTTGGGGTTGAATAAAGACATACGTCCATTAAGTCCAACCCATAATCTCATTCTTAGGGATACTGGTATCCCTGGATATTACGGTCCCTCAAGAAATTGTCCAAACGTTTCTTGAACAAATCTACACTCTTGGCTGAACTGACTGCCGATGGCAGTGAGTTCCAGACCTTAACCGCTCTTACTGTAAAGAACCCTCTTGGCCCATTGTGCTGGAATTTTTTCTCCACCAACTTTAGGTGGTGGCCTCTAGTCTTTGTAATGGAGTTAATCTCAAACAGTTTGTTGCCAATGTTGCTGTCACCATTGAACATCTTGTATCAATTAATGTTTTATTTTATTTAAAACACTGTTTTTAAAGAAGCAGTGATTTTTACATTACTTAACCCTTTCGCTGCCAAGCCCTCCGGAACATTTTGCAACTCATCTGGCGACGCAATTTTTCCCATTGATTTGATTTTCAACTGCTGCGTTGCTAGCGTTTGTAAAAAACCCCCCAAACCATATATTTTCTGAAAGCACAGGCCCGGTAGAATAAAAAGATGGCGCTACTAAACTTGTAGGCCCTGCGATAATTGTGCAAATGTTTCTCAAATTAATATTAAACTGATAAAAATACACAATTCTCGGAGACCCAGTTTGTCACGTTTGTCAGCTAATGATCAGGGCAGGTGCAGGAGCTCAGCACACCTCGCCCTCACTCCTCCATGGACAGACCCGCAGCCTCAGCACTCTTTGAATGGGAAGCACTCAGAAGCTTCCCATTCCAATCAGAAACTGCTGATAGTAAAATATTTTACTATCAAGCAGTTTATGAATGGGGAGAAGCCTCTATAGTGAGTGCTACTCCCCATTCAGAAATTCGCGAATTAACAGGAAGTGATGTAAATCACAGCCTGTTCATTCCTAACTGGGGACACATAGTATCATGAGGGTTATTCACAAAGCTGCCGAAGGATCTAGCTGTAGCTTCGGCTGATCCTTCGGCCCCAGCACCCCTTCGGTTCAGTAGAAGTGAAGGGCTGCTGTACGGGCTATTCACTATAGCGTGTACAGCTCCCGAAGTTGGCCGAGCAGCTCAGTCGAGCCAAAGGCATATGCTTCGGGTCGACTGAGCCGAGGTAAAAACCGAAGCTGACCGAACGGGCAGCCGACAGCCTGCTACTGATAGCTGGGCGGAGCCAGCCGTCATCTCATGGCTGGCTCTTGCCACGTGCATGCAGAGACAGATCAGCATCCCCTGGCTACCAGGTAACCAGGGACGCTGATCTGTCATTACACTGAGAACCCGGCGGAGCCGCCGTGATATCACGGCGGCTCCGCCAGGTTCTCAGTGTGTAATGACAGTTCAGCATCTCCTGGTTACCTAGTAACCAATGGGACGCTGGACTGTCATACTATGTGATATCATGGCTGCTCTGCCGCGTTCTCAGTGTGTAATGACAGTTCAGCATCTCCTGGTTACCTAGTGACCAGGGAACGCTGAACTGTCGTTCCCTGGTCCGCTCCGACAAGCTCTCATTGTAATGACAGCTGGTCCCGGCCAATAGAACAGTTGGGCAGAGCTAGCTGTCACTGCTAGCTCCGCCCAATCATGTTCTTTTTTTTTTACTACTTTTTCTATTCTGCTCGGTACCACAGAGATAACATGCAGAATAGCCGAGCAGGATTCGGCTATTCACTCACTTCACTCCAGATGTTGGATCAGCTGAGTCGAACTCCTTCTGCACACAGCAAGCCGATGTACGGCTGATTTCACTAGGTGTACGGCTGAAATCAGCCGTACAAGCCTGAAGTGAATAGCCGCGTTCAGCTCACTTCACTCCGGGTCGGTTATTCACACGGTTGAATAACCCCCTATGTCATCTGGAAACTGACAGGACGAGAGCGGCTCCGTTCTCCTCACCGCTCGGCTTTTTTTACAAGCAGCTCCAGGCAGGGATGAGAGATGAGAGAGACTCCAGACGACCATGAGCTTATAGCAGAACTGTAAATGCCAGGTCTGACATGGCCAGCCGGGAACACTTTTGTTCCGCCGTATGTCCCTGGCAGGGAAAGGGTTAAAATGAAAAATTCCTTTAAATAATGTGCCTGGGGGGTCCCCTTAAACTGCCTGTGAAGTGGCAAATCTGTACGATGTATAAAACCTGCTGCAGCAAAAAGTGACATTTAAAAAGAAAAAAAAAAAAAAGTGTGTGGCTCCCCCAGCCAAACAATACCAGGCCCTTTGTCTGGTAGGAATGTTAGGAGGGATCCCCTGTAAAAATAACCAAAAAATAAAAAAGAAGTGTGTGAGGTTTCCCCTTAGAGCCATACCAGGCCCTTAAGGTCAGGAAAGGGGGAGTGTAAGGGGGCGACGACGACACGTGCGAGCACCCCCAACCCCCTCGGCACTGGCAGGGTACTTTTCCTTTTCCAGGGTCGCCTGGAAAAGAGGCCAGACTTTTGAAAAAACCCTTTATTTGAAAACACAAAAACAAAACAAAACCCCCAAAAGACAAGTTTTCGACAAGTCTTTCATTAAACAAACCCCCCCCCCCAAAAAAAAATGGATCCACCAACGTAATCCAGCGTCAATCACGGCAACTAGACGAAATAAAAAATAAATAGAAATAATTTTTAAAAAACGATGACCGCTGTCCCATCCGTTTGCGACGAACACGTGCTGCAGAGTGGCATTTTGACAGATGCCGGCAACATGTAAACAATTGGGCGGAGCTAGCAGTGACATCTAGCTCCACCCAACTATTTACAGTTGTAACAGGTGAGCCATGATTGGGCAAAGTCTTGTACCTGACCTGTGGTCAGGTGCAAGGCTTTAGCCAATCAGGGCTCACAAAGCACAGTGTTCGCTGAACACACAAACTGCCGATGTTCGAGTCGAACTCACGTTCGACTCAAACATCGAGCCTATCTCTACTTAACACTACTAGGACGGAAGGAGCAATCTACCCAAATAGACACAGTAATAAAAAGTTGATATTCTAACACTCTATGCCAAAAAAATGCATACTTGTCAAGAAATAATTACTAGACCCTAAAAAATGCAATGTTATGAAAAGTTTACCCACTTTGTTCTTAGCAGGGAATTAACAGGGGGACAGGGGGTCATCCCATCCCTGATCTTCCCCCAATCACAGATTCCTTGTATTTTTGGAATAAAAAATAAGGCATTTTGTGAATGGGCAAGTAATGTTGAGCAGGTGATGCGACCGCACTTACTGCTTGAGTTGCATCTCTCACTTGCCTCGAAAGCTCAAGATTATCTGCAGAAGAAATGCTGCAAGGAAAGTTTTTTATACTTTGCATAAGTCCCCCACACAACACACACCCAATGCTGTGTTTAAGTTAATTTTTCTGGGAGTTTGGCTTTAATATTAGCTTCCAGGTGACAATGTTCTTCTGCAATAACAGGAATCATGAAGGGGGCAAATACTCGACAAGGATGTTAAGCCTAGGCTATTCTAACATGACTTCAACTGCCCTGAATAGAACTCTCTTGCCCGAAATCATCACAACTTTCACACAAAGTTATTATGCGATCATACTTTATGCTGGACATTTAAATAAAAATGTGAGAAATAAAGGTTCGAAAATGTTCTTACCAAGAATTTTTTCAAACTCATCATCATCTACATCTTCTAAACTCTCCTCATCTTCATTCCGTTTATTCCTCTGTTTGTCTATGGACAACTTTTTAAAGTATCTACAATTCAGATGAAGAATGAGAAGGAAGAAGTGATTTGAATACAGAAGAAAATTCATTTTAACACATGCTTACGTAAGGTTAAAAGGAACAATATTAAGTTAGTAATAAAACGTAAATATAGTTGTGCTAACCTTTTTAAAATGTATCTACTACAAGCTAAAGTATGCATGCTTAGGGAAGAAGGATATGGGGAGGGGGGGGGAAGGGGAGAGAATATTTAACATATGCAATTTATAATATAGTAAGAAAGAAGAAAAAAACCCCACATGATTAAACAATGCACGTGAGGTGATATTAAACACACAGCAAGAAATTCAAACAAACAAACTACTATCATATGCACTTTATAAACCAGGACAGATAATTTTGCCCATACTTTTTTTCCCCATTCTGTTTTTATTTCCTGTATTTGTTTAATGGTTATATATTTAGTGGTCAGGTTTTTTTCCCAGTTATCAGTAAGGTAAGACAGTACTACACAAACATCCTAGGTGCCTAGGTTAAAGAAGAAATCTAGGCAAAAAGTGTTTTTAACCCTTGAAGTTCGGCTACCCCCGCACTGCAATGGTTAAGTGCTCGTTATACTCACCCGAACCGTCGAGCTGGCTGCCTGCTTCTCCGGTCACTGAAGCATATCTCCTCTGCAGCATTGGAATGTTCCTCAGCATTTTCACATCTATACACTGTGCATAAAACGTGATGATCTACGGGACAGTTGACTGCTGCAGCGGAGGGGGAGAGAGGCCCCTGGGACCGACCTAAGAGCAAGCCAGTCCGGAGGATCAGGCGAGTAGAATTTTTTTTTTTTTAACCTAGACAAAAACGAGCAGTTAACCCTTGCAATTTGGGGGTAGTCCCACTGAAAGGGCTTATTAAAATAGTCTTCTTAGAAGATCCTAGTGTTCTGAAATATTTGTCATTAAAAAAAAAAAAGAAGTGTATTTTAGAATTCCAAACATTCCTTTTGAAAAAATAATGTAATACAATAAGATTACTTAAGATTTACTTCCATGTAAAAAAAAACATGTTACCTCTAAACAAGTATGTTGCACTGTAAATAGAAGTGATCTTCACAGTTAATTAACACATTTGAATATGCCACAAAGTAAAGCCATTCCATCATAATTGCAGCGCTGAAATCATAACGGTACATGTATTTTCCAGCATAACTATGAAGATCTACTATCCATCGCGCAAGCACCTGATTGGTCCCCAACTTCAATCTGCAGGATTACAATGACCCCAAACACCTGGCTAAAATCATCAAGAACTATTCTGCAGTGAACACAAAAGTGGGTAATAGTGCAACAGATGGTATGAAGCCCACAGAGCCCTAATCTCACCATCAGCAAACCAGTCTAGGATTACCTACATAGACAGAGCTGAAAAGGTATAAGGCTTCAGCCATCTTAAAAACGAAAAAAAGAAACTCTTTGGGACTCAAGGGGGTCATAAGGAGACAAAAAAAAGACTCTGGGATGTAAGGAGGTTAATGCACCAAATGTAAATGTTTTTAATTTGATGCCTATTTTTATTTGATGCCTATACAGCCTATTTGATTGCGGCACACTCAATATGATCAGAGGTTTATCTAAACTAATTTTCACAAAGCTGTTGATGGCTTTCAAAAGTATTCAACCCCCACCCTGGCATTTTTCTATTTTGTTGCATTACCACCTGGAAATAAAGTGGACATTTTGGGGGTTTGTATCATTTGTTTTACACAAAGTGCCTACCACTTTGAAGATACAAAAATAGGACTAAAGACTAGACTAAAATTGAGCTTTTTCACCATCAAGGAAAACACTGTCTTGAGTAAACCCAAGACCTCTCACACGGAGAACACCATCCCCCAAAGTGAAGCATGGTGGTGGCAGCATCATGCTGTGAGGATGTTTTTCATCGGCAGGGACTGGTAAACTGGTCAGAATTGAAGAAATGATGGGCGGTGCTAAATACACGGAAATTCTTGTGGAAAACCTGTTTCAGTCTGCCAGAGATTTGAGGCTGGGACAATTACAAATATTTATTTATAGCACCAGCATATTCCTCAGCGCTGTACAATCATTTAGACAAGTAAGAAACACTGACAAGCATCATTGACATACAGAAACAGTAGGTGAGGAGGACCCTGCCCAAACAAGCTTACAGTCTAAGACCCCGTTCACATTGAGCGATTTATCGTGCGGTAATTCCCGCGATATTGCGGCAAATTACCGCGCGATATCGCGCTCCAATCCAATCCAATGGGGCAAAGGGTCCTGCTGTCGCGGGTCGTGTGTCGCTACAGCAGGACCCTTTTGCAAGCTTGAAAGCGACATCGCGCAGCAAATATCGCGATGTCGCGCAATATGCAAATCGCTCGACAAACGCGCGATTTGCATATCGCACAGTGGGAACGGGGCCTAAGACTGGGACAGAGGCTCACCTTTCAGCAGGACAATGACCCTAGGCCCACTGCTAAAGCAACACTCGAGTGGTTGAAGGGGAAACATTTAAATATCTTGACTAAATGTCTAGCAATGGCATGACTTAAAGATTCCTGTACACCAGCGGAACCCATCTAATTTGAAGGGGCTGGAAGTATTAGCAGAAATTCCAATGGCTAGATGTGCCAAGTTTAGAAACGTACACCAAGAGACTTGCAGCTGTAATTGCTGCAAAGGGTGGCTTTACAAAACATTGACTTGGGGGAGGGAGGGGTGAACAGTTATGCACGCACAAGTTTTCTGGGGGGCCAGCTCTGTGGAGTGTACGGTTTAAAGTGGTACTATGGACAGATACTAGTCTCCGCTGTGGAGCTTTGCAGCTCCCTCAGGGTCATCTTTGGTCTTTGTTGTCTCTCTGATTAATGCCCTCCTTGCCTGGTCATTGAGTTTTGGTGGGTGGCCCTCTCTTGGCAGGTTTGTTGTGGTGCCATATTCTTTTTATTTATTATAATGGATTTAATGGTGCTCTGTGGGATGTTCAATGTTTTGTTTATTTATTTTTTAACTCAACCCTAATCTGTACTCAAGACAAAAACAAAAAGGACAAGCGCACAACCAGGGGGTACAAACTTATGGGAGATGTGGTATAAGGACAGGGATTACAGTGTGCAAGCTCTATGAAAAACAGAGAGGAGCCCTGTGATAAACAAATGAGTGAAAATTGTATTGAGAGTGCTACTACTGTACTAGGCATATAGGGAAACTCACGTTTGAGAAGTCATCTGTGGGGGGGAAATCCAGTGAGGACCCTGGGTGAGTGCAGACCTGAAGAGTCCAGTGGTCTGGTGGGTGAACTGCCTGAGAGGACATGGGCTGTGACGGAAGAACAGCTGTCCCTTGCAAGGACTCAGCTACCGACCCAGCATACACTGCCCTTCAGTGCACTTTGACCCTCCCGCCATTCCCGCCGGCGTCCGTTCCTGCCCGAACCACCGCTCCGCCTCTCGAGCCGACTGACACAGAGCTGACGGCTAACAGCACCTTGGACACAAAGTGCCCTCGGCTGCAACGACCCAGCCTGGCCAGCTGAGTCCTTGCAAGGGACAGCTGTTCTTCCGTCACAGCCCATGTCCTCTCAGGCAGTTCACCCACCAGACCACTGGACTCTTCAGGTCTGCACTCACCCAGGGTCCTCACTGGATTTCCCCCCACAGATGACTTGTCAAACGTGAGTTTCCCTATATGCCTAGTACAGTAGTAGCGCTCTCAATACAATTTTCCCTAATCTGTACTCCACACCTTTGTCCCTGACCTGTTTGGAGATCTCCTTGGTCTTCATGGTGCTGCTCACTTGGAGGTGCTGCTTGCTCAGTGGTGTTGCAGACTCTGGAGCCTTTCAGAATAGGTATATATAATATATATGTAACTGATTGTACACAGGTGGCCTTTATTTTTTTACGCATTATGTGACTTCTGAAGGCAATTGGCTGCACAAGATTTTATGTAGGGGCTATATAGCAAAGGGGGTGGATACATATGCACGCACTTTTCAGTTTGCTTTTTTTTTTTTAAACATCAAAAGTCGCCGGGAGTCTGTTTAAACAGCCCCGATGCTGGCGACGTACACTGTACGTCGTCAGTCATGAAGGGGTTCATTTTTTTGCTTTCACTTTACCATTCTGTACTGATTTGTGCATGTCCAATCCACTGTTGTTAATGCAACAAAATAGGAAAAATGCAAAGGGGTTGAATACTTTTGCAAGCCACTGTATATGGTGAATTTTATGCATCATCCACTCATCTTTTACCTGTAGAAGAAAACTTCATCGGCTGGTATTTCATTTTCCTCTTTTTCAAGGAATGTTGCACTGTTAACTAAAAGAAACATTTTCATTTTATTTAGTATGAAATTAATGGAATATTCAATTTGTATTATATATTTGTATTTCATTAACAACTACTGTACTATCTTAATAATAAGCATATGCAAGGCAAGTTCTTCAAAGAAGTTTATGAAAGCAAATCCCATACCCTGTAAAGGAAAGGAGATGCTAGCATTATCCAGCATAATTGAGATTAACCATCGAAATTGCAAGATGGGTGATAACAAGCCTACACAAGCACAGCCAAATTTGATCTATTAATGCCACAAAAGTGGTAATTTGATTTAAAAAAAATGGTACCTGGAAAGAATATATGCACGTGTCACTTTAACCCTTTCGCTGGCAAAGCCCTCTGGAACATTGTGCAACTCCGCTGGCCACCCCCTTTTTGCAATTTTTCCCATTGATTTGATTTTCAATTGTTGCGTTGCTAGCGCTTTTAAAAGACCCCCAAAACATATATTTTCTGAAAGCACAGGCCTGGTAGAATAAAAAGATGGTGCTACTAAATTTGTAGGCCCTGCGATAATTGCGCAAATGTTTCTCAAATTAATATTAAACCGATAAGGGGCGTGGCCGGGATGTGAAGCAGTGCGGGCGTGTCCACCGGAGCTCCGTCTCTGCACTAACCTTCTCCTGTAGACATCCTGCTCGTTCAGACCCGGGATCTACTCACCTCGGGTTCGGTGGGTCGTCCGATCCGGTGTGCCATGTCCTACAGGTCCGGTAAGCGCACGGACATGCCGAAACGAGGCGGGAAGAAAGGCAAAGGGGCGGCCTCGAGATCATCCGGCGCCATCTTGGCTTCTTCCCCGGCTGCCTGCGAGTGCTCCTGCAGGCCTTTCCTGCTAAGCCCCCCTGAGACCACAGCTTTCCTGCTATGCTAATAGCGGAACATGTCAAAAGCTGGATACAGTGTTTGCACTGTATCCAGCGACTGACAGGTCACGCAAAAAGTATTAAACAGGAAGGGGTGGGGTAAATTTAGTGGGGGTGGGGGCGCCCGAGTTTTGCCTTGCCTAGGGCAGCCCCAATACACCACTGCGTTCAGGGACCACCAATTGAAATAGATCCGTCACAATTAGGCAGCGGCAGCCAATAAACAGGTAGGTTTGACGGCTGCTTCCTCCTCGCTGGGACCCCGGGAGGCCCCTGCAAGCGGCCATCTAATCTGCCTGTTTAGAGGTCACCGCCGCTGCCTGATTGTGACCGGTCCGACTACAGAGGCGATCCGGGACGTTCGGGTCCCCCGTGAGAGCCGTACAAGGCCGTAAGGCAGTGATGTTGAATGTTTCTTAAACCCGAGCGCCCAAACTGCAATACTAAACTTAGTTTCAGCGCTGGCACTTTGAGATAAATAAATTGATTTTGGGTCGCAGTTTGGGCACTCGGGTTCAAAAAGGTTCGCCATCACTGACATAGGGCAACAGATCGTAGATCCTGTACTGTAGGTATATCGCCACCTGCAGGAGGACGCTAGGCACACAACAAAAGACAAAGACAGCCTAGGGGCGGCCCCCTTGCCTATGGGCAAAACAACCAAAATTCCCAAAAGACCCCTCAAAGAGCCGCCTGCAACACTTTGCGCCCCAACCCAGCATCCGCTGATGCCGAAACAGCCACCTTATAAAACTTGGCAAAGGTGTGAATGGAAGACAAAGTAGCAGCCTTACAAACCTGAGAAACCGAGGCACTATGGCGGAAGGCCCGAGATGCCCCAACAGCCCTAGTAGAATGGGCAGTGACAGGAAAGGGAGGCTCGCGCCCCTTAACGGCGTACGCCTGAACAACAACAAGATGAATCCACCAAGAAATGGTAGCCGCCGACACGGCCCATACGGGGGCCCTCCGTGAGCACGAACAATTAATCTGATTGACAGAAAGAAGCCGTAGCTACCAGATAAACATGAAGAGCGCGAACCACATCCAAACAGTGCAGCGCTCTTTCCTTCCTATGAACCGGCTTCGGGCACAGAGAAGGCAAGACCATGTCCTCATTCAGATGGAACGCCGACACAACCTTAGGGAGGAAGGCCGGTCGAGGACGTAGACAGCCTTGTCCCTATGAAGAACAAGCAACGATGACTTGCAATCCAAGGCAGCCAACTCAGACACCTGTCAAACGGAAGTGATGGCAACCAAAAAGGCCACTTTTTGGGACAAAGACAGAAGCGGAATCTCCCGCAGAGGCTCAAAGGGAGATTCCTGCAACACCGAAAGCACCAAATTCAGATCCCACGGCGCCAAAAGGCGAGCGGATAGGAGGAGCAACACGCGTAACCGCCTGAACAAAAAGGTGCGAACTAAGGCGTTAGACGCCAAAGGCCGCTGGAAAAGCACAGTCAATGCAGACATTTGGCCCTTCACCGTGCTCAAGGCCAACCCTTGAGCCACCCCGCGCTGCAAAAATGCAAGAATTCTGCTGATCGAGAACAAACGTGGAGACAGAGCCCCAGCCTTACACCAGGCAAAATAGGCCCTCCACATGCAATGGTATATCTTCCTAGAAACCGCTTTGCGCGCCCTGAGCATCATGGAAATGGCCGCTTTGGACAACCCCCGGTCCCTTAGGACCTGGCTCTCAACAGCCACGCCGTCAAAGCCAGCGTCTGTAAAGAAGGATGGAACACAGGTCCCTGGGACAGAAGATCCGGACGCAAAGGCAGCCGCCACGGGGCGTCCACCACCAGCTGAACCACGGCAGCGCACCACGCTCTCCGAGGCCTATCTGGGGCCACGATGATGACGGTGGCGTCTTCACCTGCGATCCGTTGCAGAAGCCGGGGCAACAGGTAGAGTGGAGGAAAGGCATAAATCAGACTAAGGTTTTCAGGGAGCCACCAGGGCATCCACCGCCTCCGCCCAGGGATCCATAGACGGGCTACAATCTCTCTACCTTCCGGTTGAGTCGAGACGCCAGAAGGTCCACATCCGGCGACCCCGAGCGAAGACAAAGCTGATGAAAACAGTGCGGGTGTAGGGACCATACTGCCGGGTCCACCGACTGGCGACTGAGGCAGTCGGCCTGCCAATTGTCTACCCCCCAGAATGTAAACCGCCGAGAGGGCAAGAACCTGACTCTCCGCCCAGGAGAGGATCCCGGATACCTCTCGACTTGCGGCTACGCTTTTGCAGCCGCCCTGGTAGTTGACGTACACCACCGCAGTGGCGTAGTCCGACTGGACCCGAACCGTCAGACCCCGAAGGAAGAGATATGCGAATCGCCCGAAGTTCCAATACATTTATCAATCCCCCTGTCCAGGGACAAGGGGGACACGTCCCACTGTAACAGGACGTCCCTCTGAAGAGTCCTGGCGTGGTGCTGTGCAAAGGGCACCGCCTCGAAGGAGGCCACCATGAGGCCCAGGACCTGCATGCAAAAGCGAAAGGACGACCACCGGTGAGTCCGCAACAGACGCACGCTGGAACAGAGTTTCAGGAGCTAGTCCTGAGAAAGAAAAACTCGGGCCAAAACGGTGTCCAGAACCAGGCCCAGGTACTCCAGTCACAGGGAAGGCACCAGACAAGACTTCTGGAAGTTCAGCATCCATCCGAACTCCCCCCAAGGACCGCACAGTGACCTCCAGAGCATTCACCAGAGAAGAGAGCGACACTGCCCGCAGAAGATCGTCCAGATACCCAAAGATCGAGATCCCCCGGCAACGCAACAGAACCAGGGCTAACACCTTGTTGAACACCACAAACTGGAAGTGCTCTTCCCCACTGCAAAACAAAGATATCGCTGATGACACAAATGGGCACATGAAGGTAGGCATCCTTGATGTCGACGGAGGCCAGCAGATCCCGCTGACAGAGATACGCCACTACGGACCCGATAGACTTCATCCGAAACCGACGGACCCGCACAAAAGTGTTCAAAAAGTTTGAGGCCCAGGATGGGCCGAAACCCTTTCTTTCTTGGGCACGGTAAACAGGTCGGAAAAAAATCCCCAGAACCTTTCAGAGGACGGAACCGGCACAGTCACCTGGAACAAGAGGTCCGCCACCGTGCGGTGAAGATCCGCCAATCGTGGAGGGGAAAGTCGTGTGTTGGATGGGAAAAACATGTTCCCGGGACGGGACAGAAATTCGATCTGGTAACCCGAAGAAAACCAGACCCCACACCCAGGTGTCAGAGACATGAGCCACCCAAACATCCGCAAAAGGCCGAAGGCGCCCCCCCACCCTGGGACCCAGACCTACTTGCGGACGAGGGCTTGCCGGCGGGTTTGGCAGACTTAGGCTGCCTGGGGCACTTGGCAGTCTGGGAGGGAGGTTTGGAGAACTTACCGCCCTTCTCCGAGGGTCGGAGGGGGCCTAAAAAGCCATTTGTGAGCAGAAAAGGAGGGACCAGGCTTCCGCCACTGTTCCTTCTTCCCGTCAATCCATAATAATCTAATCTAAGGAGGTACCGATAAACGGTCCCCAGTAAAGGGAAGCTCCGTCAGAGCTTTATTGGAAGCCTAGTCAGCCAACCTAGTCAGGCCAAGACCTCCAGTCATATGCACCCCACCGGGCCAAAAAGCCCACAGGCGTCGAGATATCACCGTCGCAGGACTGCATGTGCTCGTTGTTCGCACAGGGGAGACTCCAAGGATCTATAATCATCCAGCATGTCGCCCTGGCGAAGAAAAGGAGGAAAAGAAAACATTTCCAGAAATAATTTTTTTTGGCTCCTTACTCCTGACGCTGGACAAAAAACTGGAGACTTGTCAGCAGGTGGGGGGTTTGGCCACCAGCAGGGGCCGCCCCTAGGCTGTCTGTCTTTAGTTGTGTGCCTAGCGTCCTTCTCCTGCAGGTGGCGATATACCTACAGTACAGGATCTACGATCTGTTGCCCTGTGTCCTTCAATGAACGGAAGAGGAAATCGTTTTTGCACTGTGTTGGTGTTTGTGTTGTGATAAAATGGTACAGGCGTACATTTAATTGCAACACAAGGTATCACCACGCACAGCAATGCGTCACAAGGCTTTGCCATGCGTTGCCACAAT